ACTCCTATTCCTACTCCTACTACCACGACGACGACGACTACTACCCTAAACGCTGAACCCCAAACTATTTAAAAAAAAGGACCTCCAGAGCCAAGCGATCGTCCAGATAGCTTGTATTCCCTTTTCTTGGTGGCGGGCGGCGCAACGGTGGAACCTTTCAAAAGCCTCCGGCACCCATCCATATATATATATATGCACACATATACTCACTCCATTGTTGCTTCGTTTATCGTGTTTGTATAGCGCAATATATAACGTAATGTAATGTAATGTAATGTAATGTAATGTAATGTAATGTAATGTAATGTAATGTAATGTAATATGACCGTGTATATATACATAAATATACATGTGGCATAATGTAATATGCTAGCATGTAGCTCGTTCACATAGTGAAAACAAAATCGAATAGACAATGTAATATAACAAAGTGTAATGTAATGTTAGGGAACACGGTGCAATGCTATGTAATATAACCTAGCATGATGTAAGAAAGCATAATGCATGCGAAAACGATCTACATAACGAACTTATATGTTATATTATACTACATTCGGTTCTATGGTGTCATACTAAGTGCTTATCATGTTATGTTATACTACATTCATTGTGCATTCGAGCTACGATATGATGCATCATGTGACCATGCAATGACCGGCAATATAATACAGTTTGTAGCTGTAAGCAAAATAGAACTATAGTGGAGACAAGCAGAAAATATAGTGGTGTTGTCACTGCTGTGGCATTGCTACAAGTAGATGGATGAACTTTCCGTTGGTGTGACATGCCTGCTGACATCATTGCCCAAATGCTTGTGCACGTTGATTCGGCGGGGTGGCAGAGTTTGTAAATGCACGAATGATCCGGTGAACAACCGTCAACAACAAGGAATGTCGGAAAGTCGGGAGGCCATATGATCTAGACTCCAGATAACTGCAATTCTCGATACAAATGCAAGGGGATCCCTGGGTTTGTGACTCGCAAGTTACCCTTGATCTGCAGTAGCCGTTCCACTAGCCCTTTTAGGATCTTGCGAGAAGCCCCGATAGAACTTCCTGAAGAGACCCTGAGCTCTAAACCCTAAGCCCTACAGAACCCTTATGGAAGACCCTTACTTCAGCCCCATCGCTGAGGTGGCCAGCAGCTCTACGAGCAAGCGGTTCGAGGGCCGTGGCTGGATGGCATGGGTTTTCATACAGGATCTGCATAATGGAGGGGCAAAAGAAAATATTAGAATAGGGTTTTGGGGCCCATTATGCTATAGTTACGATAAGGAGCCCCCCAAAGTAATGTTGGTAATTATTTAGAGCCTACACTGAGGTTCTATGGTGATTAGGGCATAGGGCTTCGCATCGGATCTGAGTAGGGTTCTGCACGGTAAACCAAAAATTTGTCCAGCAGAAGGTGAGGGTGGCTTGAGTCCTTGGCAGATGACTTTGCAGTCAGAGTAGCGCATCATGGAGTGAGGCATCTAAGGTAGGCAAGTGCGATCGTGTGGCTTCAGTGTAAGGTAGGTCCGTGAAAAATAACCCCTGACCTGAATGTGGAAGATGCATTCGACAAGGGTCTGCACTGCTATCCAAGAAGGGTTTCATACAGGAAGACCCCTCAGCTTTGACACACTCTCTTCTCAGAACTGGGGACCTTCGGGACAGCGTGTTGGGTTTAGGCAGAGTGTAATGTTTGGGCACTCCTACGCCAAAGGCACAAGGACATAAAGGTGTGGTCTTTGGCTTGGAATATTGAAGGAAGAGCGACTGTGTCGATGCTTGCGTTGCGTAAATTAGTGTCGGCATATTGGCAAGTGCATGTAGGGTTTCTTGCTTAATGTTGGTGAAAGCATACTCGGGTTTTGGTGTGGCAATAGTAATCAAAGCCCCGCTCGATGCCAACGTAGCCTTTCGTGGGAGAGCAGTACAGGGAGCATGTGTAGCTTAGGGAAGTTGAGGCATCAGGACTTGGCTTGGGCTTCTCAAGATGTCTTGAACTGTCGGATGCATGCATGGGCTTCTAGAGATTTCAGAAAACTCATTGGCTGCATGCTTCCAAGTACATGACCCCAAACCTTAAAGACTCCACCCGCCCCCCAAAACAAGCCCCAACCCTAAACCCTCAACCATTGAACCCTACACTCCTTGCGAGGGCTCACTACAAGGCGCTCTACGGCATATACAACCTGCCTGCAGGCCTGGATTCACTTCACGGGTTTTGGATCGCAATTTGAGGCTGGTGTTCCGACAGTCGCCTATATTAACTGGTGAGTCGGTGTAGGGATAGCACACTCAGGACCCTGAACCTGAAGCCCTAACACTTGATGGCTGCCTCTCCCTCAGTCATCAAGACAGTGGCGTTGTCGTGTTCAGCTCCGGTGTGTGTACACACAAATCTATATGTATATACTATATATATATATATACATATATATATATATATATATATAGAGTGTAGTCATTGAAAGCAAATATGTTGCACATGTATGTGTGTATATATATATATACACATATGTATATATGGATAAGCTTTGTATACATACATATATATATATATACACATGTGCAAGCTGTACAAAGACATTCTTACAAGAAGTTTGTGGCTTTCTGTGCAAGAGGGCTCGGGTATTCCAGCGTGGATCCTTCTATTAAATTACTCGAGACGTTCGCCGCTTGACATCTTTAAATGGCAACCCATGGGCCCAGGGCTGAGAAGACCCATACTGGCGTGGGCTTATGGTTTAGAAAATGCTTATCAGGCCTAAACACAGCAACTCCATGTCCACACGTTCGCTCAGATCGCGCGCGGAGGATGCAGCTGTGGCGCCTGCCCGCTGCCTGTGTTTGAGATAGGCACCGGGTCCAATGTGGGTCAATGACCCCTATGATCTTCTAAGTAGCAGCGCCCTGGCAAGCCCCAACTCAATCCGAAAGCCCGGAAGCCCCGAAGCCTTCAACACCCAAACTCACTCTAAACCCTGAGCCCCCAACCCCAAACGCAACAACAAGCTAAACACCCCTTTACTGAACAGCTTTGAGACTTGCAAAACACCCAATGCCTAAACCCTCCACCCAAGGTAAAGTCTCGAACCACAATTCCTGAACCCAGGCCGGGGGGGCAGATCATGTTCGACCACCTCAGTGGAGAGATCCGGATGAAGCGCTCCGCTGGTGCGACGCCTGCGACGCTGGGCTTCTCTGCGCCGAGAGCTCCTCGGATTGATCGTAGTTCGAACAACAAGCTCGATGGAAGCAACGCAGTCACTTCCTTCGGTCATGCCCACACTGAGGAGGCGCCAGCGCCCATGCCACTCAGTTCCGGGCAACCTTTCTATCCTCCCTTCCAAGCACCAGGCCCACAGCAACCCTCCCCCTTCCAGCCACCACCAGAGCCTCCACAGCAGGCAGCAGCAGCGGCCCCCTTCCAACAACCAGCTCACCAGTCACAACCACAACAAACCTCCCCATTCCACATGCCACCACAACCATCACAGCAAACGCCAGCAGCGCCCCTCTTCCAACAACCAACATACCAGTCATACCAGTCACAAGCACAACCACAGCAAACCTCGCCCTTCCACATGCCACCACAACAACCATCACAGCAAACGCCAGCAGCACCTCCATTCCAACAATCACCAGAAGCTACCACCTTCCAACCACCAACACAAACACAACCACCACAGCAACCCTCCCCCTTCCACACGCCACTACAACAGCCAGCAGAAGCCAACTTCCAACAAGCACCACACCTGCGGCAGCAAGCGGAAGCATGCACCGACCCCTTCCAACCACCACAGCAAACTTCACCATTCGATGCGCCACCACCACAGCCGCGGCAGCAAGCGGAAGCATGCGCCGACCCCTTCCAACCACCACAGCAAACCTCACCATTCGACGCGCCACCACAACAGCCGCGGCAGCAAGCGGAAGCATGCGCCGACCCGTTCCAACCACCACAGCAATCCTCCCCATTCCATGCGCCACCACAACAAGCACCACACCCGCGGCAGCAAGCGGAAGCATGCGCCGACCCCTTCCAAACACCAGCACAATGTCAGCAAACCTCCCCCTTCCAAACGCCACCACAGCAAGCAGAGGCCTACCCGCCCGCCCCCGAGCGCGAAGCACAACAAGAGCCCCCAAAGCCAGCGGCACCGGACTGCCAGCCATGGGCACCTCTGAAGGTGGACCCTGTGCCGGCAGAAGCACCAACCTTGCTGGGCCCCGAAAAGCCCAAGCACATGCCGCTTGGGGTTCCGCTGCCGATGGAGCCGCAGCCATCATCTCTGATGCAGGCCCGGAAGCCGCAAGGGTTTACATTTGTGCTTTCGATTCAGCGGATGGTCAGGGAATGTAGGTGCTTTCGGGCTAGGAGTCAGGATGCACAGTTCCTTTAAACGGCAAAGGACTCACTGCATTACGGCACAGTCCTGTGCAAGTTGTACTGGTTATTGAGGATTTAGGTGAGGGTTCTGCTTACTATTTGTTTTGCATGTGGTGTGCAGCTAGTGCAGACACAGGTTTATGGATATCTCATAAAGATGAACATTATTACAAGGCGGCCCAACAGCCCCTACCTACGGAAGACCCCTACAGCAGATGGCCCGGTGGCTGAAGTGCCTCGTGACCTTTGACCACAATGTAGTTCTCTAAATTAGAGCATGGCACCCCTATAAAAGGGACCCCCCCAAAAGGGACCCTAATTAGAGAACTACCCATAATATGACAATGAAGATCCCCCTTTCCCAGGACAAAAACTTGCTCCTTAGAAGTAGGGGCGCCTTTATCCATCATTTCGGCCGAGTCCTTACAAGGACAACCGTTCGATTGCTGGAGTTTACTTTCTGACGATCCCAAAGAACCTCCGTGTGCCTCAACGAAAATATTGGTTAGAACAACGGTGATGGTGTCATGTATGAGCCAGACGCCTACATTGCACAACAGAAACCTTAAACTTTGCAGGAATCTGCGGTGCAGCTCACGCCTTGACCCTACGCTCGTGTAGTTCTTCCCAACCGGAGTAGGGTTTTGGGGCCCATTATACTATAATTACAAAAAGGAGCCCCCAAAATAGTATTGGTTTTTTAGGCTCCTGTATTGGTTTGGCACATTGATCCGAAACTGAACCCAGAAGAAGCTCTTTACCCGAATTCTAAGCGGGAGGCCCGTTATCGGCTACAAGCTGAGGCAGCTTGGCATTCCTTGGGCAACGGGAGTGCTCTTCCGACCTCAACCCCTCGCCCCACCAGCGTGGGGTGTAGGGTACACGTCCGAGAGGTGGGAGGATCCATCTAGATTTGTTAATTCCTCAAACCCTCCACGACCGTTGCTCATTCGCCAAGGTGGGCCAACAGGTTCCCATCTTCTACGAGTGCTCCGGTTGCACACCCGGACAGGCTTTAAGCTTCAAATCCCAAGTCCAGGCGTGCTTCGTTTTCGGGCCTTCGGGGCCCCAAAATTCGCAGGCTTGAGGCAGCAATCTCTAAAGGTCCCTTTACCTTGAGGTTTGGGGGCTGGGGTTTGAGGCTTCATGGACTTCTGGCGAATCGCCGTTACTGTTGGGGCTCATAAGCTTGCTTGCTTGCTTGACTGTTCTGTTATGTCATGTCATGTCACGTCATCTTGTGCTGTGGTGTGCTGTGCTACGACGTGCTGCGATGTGTTGTATGCATGTGTGTTCATTTGTGGATGGACATGTCAGTGTATGTTTATGCGTATGTGGCATGTGTATGTGTATGTGTATAGCGTATGTGTATATATGGATGGATGTATGCATGTATGTATGTATGGTTATATATGTATGGTACGGTAGGGTATGGTATGGTATGGTATGGTATGGTATAGTGGGGGATGGTGTGTATGGTATGGTGTGGTATGGTATGGTATGGTATGTATGTATGTATGGTATCTACGTATGTATGTATGTCTGTCTGTTTGTCTGTCTGTCTGTCTGTATCTATGTATGTATGTATGTATGTTTGTATGTTTGTATATATGTATGTGTGAACATGTACATACTTACTGCAGCAGGTTTGTGTAAGTATTCATGTGTAATGCAGTTTATGGTTGAACTCATCATTACATGTAAGTACACATACATATACATATAAATATATATGTATATATGTATGCGAAGATGCTCATTTTCGCGTATACATTTTCATATTTTACATCCTAATTATGTTACTACACACACTCACATATATGTCAGTATTTACTGGTTTTCTTACTTACTTATTTACTTATTGATACGACTCTGTCCTTCTTCATTTCTTTGTGGGTGCATGTACGTGTGTGGGCGTGTGGGCGTGTGCATGTGGAAGTGTCCGGTGAATGCTATGCGAGTGTGAATGAGAGCACGATCGTGGCTGTCTGGTGGTGTGGATGTGTGGCTGCCTGTGTGTCTGTCTGTCTGTCTGTCTGTCTGTCTGTCTGTCTGTCTGTCTGTCTGTCTGTCTGTGTGGGTGGGTTTGCCTGTTGTGTTTGCTTTCTTCGTTTGGTTCGTTTTATGTTAAGAGTCTTATGATGGCTCATTTGCGTCTCTCATTGTTTGTGTTTATTGGCTTGCGTTTTCGATGGCTTCCTTCACGACGTTTCGATCAGTCTAAGCCTAACCCAGCAGCATGCACGGCCATACAAGATTTGTCACGTAAAAGGAGACAGGAATGTGGGAGTGCATTTTCTTGGTTAGGCATTGACCAAAATACTGCCCAACATTAGCGCTGCAAAACTTCGAAGACTGCACACACAGGGTTTCAGATTTGTTTCTGAGGTCCGTTAAACCCTTGATTCCGAAACAGACTCTGGACAGTTAGGCTTCTTTTGCTGCAGGTACGAAAATCCGGACACCGGCGCGCGCTGGTGGTGGAACGAAGAAACGGAGGACACCCGACGTGAAAGTCTTACTTGCAGGGCGTGTAGTTTTTCCATTCGTGCATCTTTCGGTCTGCGTATCTGTTTATATATATATATATAGATCTGTGTGTGTGTCCGTACATATACATACATTCATCTACACAAATATACATATATACACGCGCGTGTGTTGTGTGTGCGTGCGCACATGCATTACAACGTGTCTGCTTTTTAAAGATGTGTGTACAAATATGACATAAATATATTCGTACTGACTCTCAATCTCGGAATCTGCCTGTGAAGTTGCACACAAGTCCGAACCAGAATTTGGAGCGTGGGCTTTCGTGACCACCATCGTCACGGTCGGACCTCATTGTTGCAATCGTTGGGGTTTAGGGCTTTAGGCACAAGGGCCTCGTATGTGGGGTTTAACGCGCACAACGGTCCCCAAACCGATTCCTCTCAGGTTCAGGGTTTTGTGAGCATCCGGGATGCAGGTACACTATGCATGCCTACAGCTTCCCAAGTACTGCAATCCTCAGTTCCGAATCAATCTAATTTCCTCCCAACGCATCCGAGGCTACATCATGGAACTATGTTGCCGTAACCGAGTCTCTTGAAGGTCTGGGATGACAAGTGAGCCCTCACCCCTAAACCCCCAGAGCCCCCCAAAAGCCCTCAGCTCCCTAAACCTAAACCCTAAACCCTAAACCCTAAACCCCTAAACCCTAAACCCTAAACCCCTAAACCCTAAACCCTAAACCCCTAAACCCTAAACCCTAAACCCCTACTAAACCCTAAACCCAAACAAAG